GCTATTGAAACTGTTCCCATCAACAGAATGCACTGCTGCCAGAAAACAACATTTCCAGCCTTGGTGGACATGGTCCCAGAATTTTGGAAACAGCTGATAGTTTCTCTCCATATGGCTCGGACTCACGAAGAACCAAAGTACTCATGGAACAAAAATGTTTCTTAAAGGCAGAAAAATATTTCTTTAGCGTAAGTTTGTTCATTAGTTTCGGGATCTTTTTGTTATTTTGGTATAAATGAAAACTATTTCTTCTTTGCTTAAACAATCTATTTTTTAATCTTCTTGTTTAAGTCTGTGCTGCCAAGGATTGAAGCGTCATCCAACTTCTGTAGTCGTCTCTTAGAATTCTTTCACCAAAGCTCCGTGTCCCTTGCAGGCACAGGGCAGCAGATGTTCCTCGTTCAGCAGAAACAAGATTTCCTTTGTTCTAAGCAATTTCCTCTCTTTGAGCTGCAAACCCGTCTGAAAGAATTTTGCCAGAGATCCTACCTGCTTGATATGAAGGCAGGCAAAACCAATTTCTAGAATAAATGGTGAAAAAACCTGCTTAGGAGAAATAATTTAGATCAGAAATGTACTTGATATGTATTGTCAGGCTAAAAAAAAGTTACACATATATGTCAATATCAATCCCTCTTCAATTTTGGATCTGCTGCTTGTTGGTTTTGAGAGCTTGGCAAATTAAAGCATTGAGTACCAGGTACAGGATCAGCACAAATATCAGGGTTTACTATTTTTAGTCCATTGTAGTCCTGGAATTTTCCTGATACATTCTTGTTCTTCAAAACCTTCTTTCTAGATTTCATGAGGAAAACACACCCCTTCAGATGAATGTATTTTCGAAATATGTAAAAAATACAAATACACAAATCATTTTAATAGGTACATTTTGGTTGCTTGCCTTCTTGATAACTTCCAGGAAAGTCCTTTAATCTCACCAAAAACTTCTCCTAAATTACACTTTTGTCTAATACATTATTACGTCAGTGCCTGTAAAAATGAAGTCCCTGCCGTGACCTGGGATTGTCAGAGAGGGTGGCCTTCCACTGATCTGAGTATTTTGTCTTTGTTACTAGATTTGAGGACAAAACTCTGCCTTTGGACTTAGTTTTCACGTAAGACAGTGAAATGTCAGAGGCAATGAAGCATGGTAGCAACCGTGCTTGCATAAAAATTGCTGTTTAATATTTTAACCCTGCTGACTTGGCTTCTGTAATTATTTGCTTGCTAAAGTAATAGAAAAGTTATTTTGATTTTCTGAACTCATATAAGTTATCCCATTCGATTAAATACTCCATTGATTGTGGTTTGAATACCCCATTGATTGTGATCTTACTGGCCTTTTGAAACACATTCCTCTGCACCTGGAGACCAGGACAGCACAAATACAGTGGGGCCTTGACTTACAAGTGTCCTGACTAACAAGTTTTTTGAGATACGAGCCGTCTCTCGGCCGATTTTTTTGCTTTGAGCTGCGAGCTAAAATTCAGGTTACGAGCCAGCTTCAGATACCCCACCGCCAGTTGATGCAGCGAACGTCACAGTGAATGCCACAACATCAGCCCAGCATTCAATTCATTGTAATGGTGAAAATTGATTTGACATACGAGTAATTTGAGTTACGAGCTCCATCATAGAACTAATTAAACTCGTAAGTCAAGGCCCCACTGGACTCTAAATGGCCTCAGTGGCTCCAGATAACCTGTTTCCGTTGACTCAGTGGTCCCAAGACCCGAAACTATAATTGCCGGGAGCCGGTCCATGCTTGCTGTTTCAAGGGACCTGGCATATATGGCATACTGTTCTTAATATGTTTGCTCACCTTCTTGGCACTATGTGTTTTAACCAAGGTCTCCTCTCTGAGAAAGGTTGTTTCCTCAGGTAGGGATTTTTTCCCTGAAGTTAGGGAGGGAATAAAACCTCTTAACTAGTGCCAGGTGGGTAATTAATCACTTTAACTACGAACAATCATGCTTAAGCTACATAATCTTTACTCTCTGGAATGGAGATAAGAAACCTAACCTTTGCAATAGAGATTGATAGGATTGAATCAACTGGTATAAATACAGATGTAATAAGACAACAAGACACAGAACTCAGAATACGGAACCGAGAGAGACAGAACCTAGGCACAGAACCTACACAGAACGTTCTCTAGAGACAGAAGAACTTCGCTGGAGAGAACATGGCAAAAGATCCTGGACTGAACCTGACTACAGAAATGGGCAAGAGAACCTGACTAGAACCTGATGACTGAACCTGGCTGGAGAACCTAGCAAGAGAACATGGACACAGAACCTGGCTGGAGATCCTAAGCAGAACCTCTCTGGAGATCCTGGCTGGAGATCCTGGCTAGGCTGCTGATCAACTGAACGCTGTCTCCGCGTCATTCCTTCTTCGCCGACTCCGTCCACACCTTTGGGGACCCCTGGACCCGCTGGGGTTGGACCCCGGCATATAATTAATCTTTGTAAGATAACTAACTTGCTCAATCTGAGCTTCTGTAACAAACTGCTTTTTGCAAACCAGGTTCCTCGTTCCAAACCTCGAGATGTAATCAGTATCTTTGTGATATCTGCCTATATAAGCCTGATGTTTCAGCCAAGGGGGCATTGCGAGATTTGGAGAGCATTGCCCCCTCGTAGTCCCAGCTTTGAAATAAATGTGGCTCCTTAATTCGACTTCTTGAGGCGTCCTTGTGTGATTCGCGGGGTACCCTACAACAGTAATGAGGCCAACTCTTCTGTTTTCTAAGAGCTAAGGCTGAAAGAGGAAACAGGCTCTTCTAGGTCAGGATAAGGTAAAGGCTGGGGTGGGATTTCACATGTGGTCCTTTCTCCTACCGTGTATGTCATAGCGATGCAGAGGGAACAGTAATTGATTCTGGAAAACCTTCCTCTAGTGCTTATTCTCCCCATTCTTGACAGAAGAGTGAAAATGAACTCTCATGGGTAAGATTCAAGTGTGTGAGAAATCGTACATCCAGAAATGTTTTCATGACATGCCCTCCTCAGTTACATAACTGCATTCAAGGACATGCACACCATTTGCGATGTTATTTTGTGGGAATTAAATGAGATAATGTATGGCAAGCACTTTGCTCAATGCCTGGCCCACAGAAAGCAGTTAACAAATATTAGCTATTTATACTACACTTACTTGCTTACATCTGGGAATCCTCATTCAGCCAAAGAGCGGGGCAGAAAACATTTACTCACAATTTTGGAGATAATTACTGTAACATTCTTCACAGCATCTGAGGAGTCAAATAAGAAAAATAGCATCATCACCATGGAAATCTGGAGAAACAAACACACTAAAGATTTGCAAATGCATTTCAATTACCCAAAGAGGTTAGAAGCAGAAAGAGAAACACACATTCCATTTCCTGCGGTCTCCATCCAGTTTAAATACTTCAGTGTTAGTGTCTCAAAAAGCTGACTTTAATCGTGAAGCTGATGATAGAAAGCTCTGTGGGCTTCTCCCAGAGACTTCCTTCTTTCTCCATCAGCAGAGCAGCTAGAGCAGCAGGGGGTTTATCTGAACACTTCCCCTTTACCGAATGAAATAAACAAAGAGGAACTACATGAGGAATAGTTTTTAAAATATATTTGTTTTTCCATTAAAGAAATAGGCAATAACCACTAATACTTATCAAGTAGAAGCTACCTGCCAAGCAATGCACTGAGTGCAATAGTTCGTCCATCCAAAATTCCTGGGAAGTTTACCACTATCTCTCTTTCCTCATCTATAAGATGGGGATTAAAAATGACTCAGGGGAGGGCAAGAAGATGTTTTTAATGTAAGTTAAAACTCAATGAAAGTAAAAAAATAAAATAAAAATGTGTTAACGTTGAATAGCTCCCAGTCCATTTGCCCCTGATAGTGACTTACTGTATCTATTAGGCAAGGGATTGTCATTATGTCTTCGTAATTACACTTTTACAGACTCATATTTATATTTATTTCCATTTCTTATGTTTACAATACGTGGGTGTATACACAGCTTACAAGGTTTAAAGCACTTGGAAATAGGAAATATCGCATGGCTGACTGGGTGCTGTTGCTGCCGGTGAGTATGATTTTCTGGAAGTTGACAGCAGCCTGTCATTAAATGCTTCGCGGACAATCTGCGAGCCCATAGTGCACAGGCAGCTGTCTCACTGGATCTTTCCACTGAGCCGTCCTACAGGTGTAACTGGAATTAATTTCTGCACTAAGGAATGAAAAATGTATTTAAGAAACATTTACGCATTTGTTACTAATCTGTATAAAGATTATCAACAAGCTATATCAGAATATCCCCTTCCAGGGTTACTTTAAACAATATGGCTCTTTGGAGAAGTGAGTGTAAGTAAAATAGACTAGCAGCAAGGAGAATATGTGAAAATGTGAATTGTGGGCAAATATACATTGAGACCATTCATTGATTAAATATATATTAGTGTCGATGATGTGCTTTCCCCCCTCCCCCCGCCTCCCACACCCAAGTTTAGAGGACACACAGTAAACTAAACAATGGACATTCTACAAAGCAGACAAGCAAAACAGGCTATGTTGTCAGGCACTGCGATGGAGGAACATACAGCACGTAAAGGATGAGACCTCGCGGGAGGTTCCGGTGAGGAGGTGGTGAGCCGCGGATCCTCCACTGACTTGAAGAAGCCAACCACGTGCATATCTGTACAGAGGGTTTCCTCCTACTAACATTTGCTCATTCTCCAGGAGCCCGTGGGTGAGACTTTAAAAATAAATTTATTTTTAGCAATAGGCACACATCACACCATTAAATTTGACTTTACCAACTGTATGCAAATATGCCAGGTTAGGTATGCGCAGGGATCCTACAAAATGCCAAGAATAAAGAGGTCTTTGCAGGCTTGAACTGCTTGGCAGGCATATTTCATCTAAGAAATAAAGGAAGAGACCTAGGTGGAAGTGAGTCGCTTCTCTCATTGGTTTGTGACCCTGAGTTACTCATCATATAAACCCAAACTGCAGTCACATAGGAGGGCGAGAAAGAATCTAGACGAGACTCCACAGACACACGGCACAAGTAAGTGATATGATGGACCTCCTCAAAGATAAGAAACCAGATACTTTTTACTGTTTAAGGTTTTGTTTCTATCACTGTCATATTCTCTGTGTGAGAGTGACTATCTTTTCTCACCATTTCACTTGCTCAGAGCCTCTCTATGTTAGTGGCCAAGTGGAAATCAAATGGTAATTTCTAAGAGAAGTATAGGTACTAGGTGATTTTAAAAGATTTTAAAAAGATCCTTCAAGTGGATTTTAACATAGAAAATACTGTCAATACCAGAGGGGAAAAGCCTGTCTTGATCCCAGGTTTGTGAATTGTTCCAGAATTTTCCCAAGTGATGTTTTCAGTCTGTGAAGCAGTAGAGAATGTCATAGTTTTTCTTTTTCTTTTTTTCTTTTAAAAAGGTGTAGGGATTTTATTCTTCCCTACCCTCATGTAAAATAGGTATTTTTGTTAGGAAGAAGAAGATGGACATGGGTGGGCAACTTTGCTGTGTCTCTATCAGAAAGAATTAGAGTTAACACTGAAACCTTCTTAGCATAGTGACTAGCACACAGTGAGTGATTAGTACCTGTTGGCCATTATTATTATAGGTCCTTTCCACCAGGGCCAGGACTAGGAAGGGGCAAGTGAGGGAGTGAGGCACCCAGGGCACACAGTGTAAGGGGCACTGAGTCTCAGGGTTGGGCAAATGCTGATTGTGCGCCTGTCGGAGACTGAGTACCGCCTTGGGAGGAAGGGCCTCTTTTAGGCAAGCAAAAAAAGAAAAAGTCCAGGTATTTTATTTATAGTATAGTATCTATCACTTTAAGGCTCATTTTGTTGAAGTGTCCCCGTGTTTTGCCAAGAATTGCATTCTATCATCATTTGGTTTCAAAGATCATTTAAGGCATTTGCCCCAAGCCAGAAATTGGAACTCATGTTCCCAAAGCATATTTTAATTATTCCTCGTGCTTTGGATTTAATGTGAGGCAAGCATTGAAAATAATTAGCTGGTCTTTGATAGGAAAATAGATATCTTGTCTTGCTAATTAAAAATTAAACATCTGGTGTTTGATTCAAATCCATAACTTACTCAGTTAACAAAAATTTTTATATTTCTCCATTGTCCTACAATTTAACTCCAACCTGGCAACTTCTCCAAAACTGAACTGGAAATGCTCAGGCACTCGGGGAATGAGGGAAATTAGCATGCTTCACCACCAACTGTTAATGGGTTTCATGTCAATATGTGCAAGAAATTCTCGTGTAGACAGTAACATCTCAGGCGATTGCTTTCTGAGTCCAATTGTAGCATTTCAAAACACTGTAGTCTAGTCAATAAGAGTACATACATTATGCTCTATTACTGGTCAAGTTAGGTTGTAACAAAGAACAGCTGGCAAATTCACAAGCAATCTTTGTTTTTATACTGAAAACTCATAAGCATAAAAAAATCAATAACATAAAACCGTATCTAGAATTCCCAAGTATGTTTGCAATTCCTTTTATTTAAGAGTAAGAGCTCGCTCATGTAGGCCAACACGTTCATGAATAAAGTAAAGTAAGGTAAATAGCATTTAGGTTCTGGATTGAACTGTAATATGGTTAATAATCCCTTACTTGTAAGTTTTCTATCCATCAAAATTACTCCAAAAATCCCATCCCCTTTTTCAGTTACCTGCTGAAATATTAAGGGGCACAACTATAATTATTGGATATTAGTCTCCTTTGCCAGAGAGTTACATTTGTTTTTTGTGTGTTAATCCTCACCCGAGGATATTTTTCCATTGATTTTTTTTTTTTAAATATATTTTATTGATTTTTTTACAGAGAGGAAGGGAGAGAGATAGAGAGTCAGAAACATCGATGAGAGAGAAACATCGACCAGCCGCCTCCTGCACATCCCCCACCGGGGATGTGCCCGCAACCCAGGTACATGCCCTTGACCGGAATCGAACCTGGGACCTTTCAGTCCGCAGGCCGACGCTCTATCCACTGAGCCAAACCGGCTTCGGCTCCATTGATTTTTAAGGAGAGTGAGTGGGAGAGAGGGGGAAAGATCGAGAAAAACATCGATGCAAGAGAAACACATTGATTGATTGCCTCCTGCACAAGCCCTGACCAAGGCCTGGGCCGGGGAGGAGCCTGCAGCCAAGGTATGTGCCCTTGACTGATATCAAACCCGGGAAGCTTTGGTCCTGTGGGCTGAAGCTCTATCCACTGAGCCGAACTGCCTAGGGCCAGAGAGTTACATTTGGAGTGTTGTCACCTTTCTGGCACAAACACTAGAATTTTTTAGACTGTTTCACTGCTCTTGCAACAATGTGCAGAATAAAATACTGGCTTAGTTAAAATAAAATGGTTTTTATTATGATAAGTTTATTTTATCAAACTACTGCTACAATAAACTATCAAATTACTACACTGAAATGTACTATGGTAATATGAAGTAAAAAAAGTTACAGCTAGTAGGAAGACAGAACTTTTCAAAAACACTGTAAAATATTTAATTTCTAAACTAGTTTAGCATATGTTAAAGCTAAATCTTCGTTTGCATTTAATGGCTAAATTCATATGCATTCATGTGTGGAAGTTTCTATCCAGGGTATTTACTAGTCATTATTCATATGGTGTGTTTTTAAGAAACTATGTATCTTATTTTTCAAAGAGAATTCTAAGAGGGCTTTTTATTTGTCTGCTGAATTAGGAACTTTACATGACTTTCTTTGGAGTAGAAGGAAGGTAGTGGTTAGTTTTAAGAATAAAGGAGTTCTTTAAGCACAAACAACGGTTTAACTTCCTGTTTCTGTATCATTTCAGGAAAATATGCAGCTTTCCTATGTTTGTGGGATTCTTAACACAGAATGACAGTGGAAGGGCTCAGCAACGAAGCTAACAGGAAATAAGAGGCCAGCATGACACTAGAATTTCCGTAGGCCAGTCAAATCATATTTAGGTCTATAACCCACCTGGGTGTTATTTTCATGTATTATGTAAAGTTGGAATCTGATTACATGTATTTTTCCTCCTTTGTCTCAGAACCATTTTTTGTTGTTGTTAATCCTCACCTGAGGATATTCTTCCATTGCTTTTTAGAGAGAGTGGAAGGGAGAGGGCGAGATAGAAACATCGATGTGAGAGAGAAACATCCATTAGTTGTCTCCTGCCCATGCACCAACCAGGGCCTGGGATCGAGCCTGCAACCGAGGTACATGCCCTTGACCGGAATCCAACCTGGGACCCTTCAGTCCATAGGCTAATGCTCTATCCACTGAGCCAAATCAGCCAGGGCGTCTCAGAACCATTTTAACCTCGTCCCTTTGTGTCCCCACTGTAATGTCCTATCAGCTGTCTATTATCTGAGGTTCTGTTTTGAGATGCTATGCACCTCTGTATGTCTAGTCCTAAACAAAGATCACATTACTGGAATTGCAAGGTTTTCTGTATGTCCTGCTGTCTGGTAGGTCCAGTCCTCTCCTTTTCTCTTAATTTATCTTGGCTACTTGGTCCTTAGCATTTCCATTTGAAATTCAGGATCAGGTTTATCTTGGACTTTGAATGTAGACAATCATCTTACTAATACAAGCCTAGGTGGTCCTCACGTCATCACAAGATGGCTGTGTGCACAGCAGGTACGCGCAGGTGGGCGGGGCGGGGCTTGACACTGTGTGCATAGCACAGAGCATGCCTGGGAGTCCCGCCTCCTCCCAGCTCCATGCATGGCCAGGCCTGGGGGGTCCAGCCTCTGCGGCTCCGGCCTACCTCTTTGGGGCAATCCATCGAGGAGCCCCGGATGGGTGGGCAGGGCCTACCTCTTTGGGGCGATCAATCACAGGTACTCCCGCACTGTGACAGAGCACAGGCCAGGCTGGGGGACCCCCCCCCACCACCACCACCACCACCCAGTGCACGAATTTCGTGCATTGGGCCACTAGTTTTGATTATAAATAAGGATAGTTTTTCTCTTCTTTCCACTCCTTACAGATGTCATCTTATTGAATTAACTAGGCCACCTGGGACTATGTTGAATAGTAGTAAGTTCTTGTTATTCCTGACATTAAAAGACATGCTTCTATTGGTTTTCCATTATGTATGATGTTTGTTCTGAGGTTTTTGTAGAGACTCTATTAGGTTTAGGAAGTTTTTCTCTATTTCCAGTTTGCCAAGAGGTTTGTGTTTGTTTGTTTTTTAAGATATTTTAACATGAATGAATGATTAATTTTATACATTTTTAAAAGGGTTTAGTTGCATCTATTGAGAATATGATTTATGGTTTTTTTCTTTTAATCTATTACTGTCATATATTATACAGATAGATGTTTTGGTGATGACACATCTTCCATTCCTGGGATAAACATATCTTGTCATTATATTTTATTTCTTTTTATACTCTACTAAATTTGAATAGCTAATAAGTTAGTTAGAGTATATCTATGTTTATAAGTAAGATATATCTATACTCTTCCTCTTTTAATATGTCTTTGACTTTTCTTAATTTTTCAATTCCCTGAAACTACTTGTAAAAGACAAGGATTATCTTTTCCTTGAAGATTAAGTAAAATTTGCCTGTAAAATCACCTGGGCCCTGTGTCTTTCGTGGGTATAACTAATTACCAATTCAGTTTCTTTACTGATTATTGTTTTTTTTGTTTTTTTTTTTATTGCTTAAAGTATTACAAAGGGTATTACATATGTGTCCATTTTATCCCCCCGCCCTAGACAGTCCCCTAGTCTCCCCTATCCCCCAATGTCTTATGTCCACTGGTTATGCTTCTATGCATGCATACAAGTCTTTTAGTTGATCTCTTACCCCCCTACCTCCTGCCCCGCAACCCTCCCCGGCCTTTCTGCTGCAGTTTGACAATCTGTTTGAGGCAGCTCTGCCTCTGTATCTATTATTGTTCAAAAGTTTATAATGGTCTCTATTATCCATGAATGAGTGAGATCATGTGGTATTTTTCCTTCATTGACTGGCTTATTTCACTTAGCATAATGCTCTCCAGTTCCATCCATGACGTTGCAAATGGTAAGAG